GGCTGAGGCAAAAAATAGCTTGAACCTGGGAGGCGGAGGTTGCAGTGAGCTGAGATCGCACCATTGCCGTCCAGCCTGGGCAGCAGAGGGAGACTCTGTCTCGAAAAAAAAAAAAAAAAAAGCATATTACAAAGCTGCAGAGTTAAAACAAATTAGTTTGACTATCAAGGTGAAAAAGCAGACTACTCAAATATAATGCAGCACATATATAAACATTCAGACATATGGTGATATGAAGACTCTTTCATACCCATAATTACTGCTGCAACATTGTTACTGAAAGCCAATAGGTAAAAACAATGCAAATTTTTGTCAGTAAATCATTCAGTAGATATACTTTGAAATATAAACATACTGGAATATTACCCAGGTTTTGAAAAGCAGAAAATATTCTAAAAACTACAAATAAAGCTCAATGACCTTTTCCAAAAAAGTGAGCCAGCCACGGGTTTGGAGAACACAGACACCCGGATGTTATAGACCAACGAGGTTTAACAGACTTGTACAAAACTTTCCAGTTGGAAGCAAAAGACTCTCTCCAGAAAGCACAATATTCTTATTTGTACCTGGAGCATTCTGTTCAAACACACACCAACTCTTATTAAATATAAGAATACTGGCTGGGTGCAGTGGTTGATTCCTTTCAGAGACCAAGGTGGGAGGATCACTTGGGGCTAGAAGTTTGAGACCAGCCTGGGTAACATAGTGAGACCCTATTTCTACAAATAATTTAAAAAATTGGCCTGGCATGGTAGCGCATGTCTGTAGTCCCAGTTGCTTGAGAGGCTGAGATAAAAGAATCACTTAAGCCCAGGAGGCTGAGGCTGCATTGAGCCAACATCATGCCACCGCACTCCAGCCTGGGTGACAGAGTAAGATCCTATCTCAAAACAACAACAAATTTAAGAAGACGAAAATTATATACTGTGTTTTCCAACCAAAACTGAATGAAACTAGAAATTAAAAGCAAAAGTAGGCCAGGCATGGTGTCTACCCTGTACTTTGGGAGGCCAAAGTGGGTGGATCACTGAAGTCAGGAGTTCAAGACCAGCCTGACCAACATGGAGAAAACCCATCACTACCAAAAGTACAAAATTAGCCGGGTGTGGTGGCAGATGCCTGTAATCTCAGCTACTCGAGAGGCTGAGGAAGGAGAATCACTTGAAACTGGGAGGCAGAGGTTGCAGTGAGCCAAGATTGCGCCACAGCACTTCAGCTTGGCAACATTTGTCTTCCAAAAAAAAAAAAAAAAAAAAGCAGAAAAGAATAGCCTTATGTTACCAAATAAAAATTATATACATATAATTATATACATATGTGTAATTATATACATACATACCTATATATAAATATCCCTCTCACAGAATATGGTTAGAACCTCTGATATATAAAACACATATTTAGGAATATATTAGGCTTATTATTTAAATACAGCTGAAGAAAGTGGGTGAAAATCTACAATTCCTTTTGGCCTGCAGCAAATTTAAATGTACAAACTGGGTGCGGTGGCTCATGCCTGTAATCCCTACACTCTGGGAGGCCGAGGTGGGCGGATCTTGAGGTCGAGATAGAGGCCACCCTGGTCAACATGGTGAAACGCTGTCTCTACTAAAAATACAAAAATTAGCTGGGCACGGTGGCGCGTCAGCTACTCGGGAGGCTAAGGCAGGAGAATCACTTGAATCTAGGAGGCAGAGGTTGCATTGAGCTGAGATCGCACCACTGCACTCCAGCCTGACAACAGAGACTCTGCCTCAGGGGAAAAAAAAAAAAAAATTATAAGTAACTATTTTAGTAAATATGGAGTGCCTACTAATTATCTAATTTACTTCAAACATAACATGTAAATTCAGGCATATTGTCCTAAATCTCTGAATCTAAAAATACAAATTTAAAATAGAAAATGAAAGCACAGGCACGGTAGCTCAAGCCTGTAATCCCATCACTTAGGGAGGTGGAGGTGGGTGAATCACCTGAGGTCAGGAGTTCCAGACTAGCCTGGCCAATATGATAAAACCCCATCTCTGCTAAAAATACAAAAATTAGCTGGGCATGGTGGCAGGCACCTGTAATCCCAGCTACCTGGGAGGCTGAGGCATGAGAATCCCTTGAACCTGGGAGGCAGAGGTTGCAGTGATCCAAGATTGTAACACTGTTAGCCTGGGCAACAGAGTAAGAGGGAGAAGGAGAGGGGGAGGGGGAGGGGAAGGGGAAGGGGATGGAAAGGGAAAAGGAAAGGAAGAGAAATGAAAAACGAAAGGAAAGGGAAAAGGAAAATAGGGGTAAAAATATATAGGGAGAGTGACATCAGTAAGATAAAGAAAAAAGGTGCCCTGTTTACTTACCCCCCAAAGGCCATCCCCCAAAGCTATCCCTGACAAAAATGCCTTTCTAAAGGAGCCAGCCATCATGGCTCACATCTGTAATGACAACTACATGGTACATTAAGATCAGAGAATTTCATCAGGTCAGGAGTTCAAGACCAGCCAGGGTTATATAGCAAGTCCCGATATCACAAGTAAGTGCCTTTAAGAGAGCTGTGAGGTCCAGGGAAGGAGCTGTGAAACTCTGCTAAACCCCAGAACTGAGAAGTACTCCTTCTCAGAGTGCAAGTCCTTATTCAACGGGCAAACTACGGGACCTCTGTTCTTGGCTTCAGACCAGGAAGTGGCCCACTCAACTTGGTTCCACTGAGAATTCTGAACTTACTCTGTAATCATCCCAAACTCCTCCCAGCCATAGCACGAAAGAGGACCTGCCCTTCCAGGGGCCTGGAGGAAGACATCTGTTTACAGCCATGCAGCAGGACCGCAGACCTGGGCCTTTACTTCGGTCCCTGAAGCAGTTCCATGACTCAGTTCCAGCTCGCTGAGCCACAGTGCATGACCAGTTCTGCCTACATAGAAACCCACACAGTGACCTGGGAAAATGCTCTCTGGTTCTTAGTGAAAGACATACTCTTCTACATCCCAATATAAGGCCTGCATTTACAGACCTGACTGCAAAAATGTGCCTTAGTGTCTGCCCTACAGAGCAAAGTCCTGAAGGACAGTCACTCTGTCCAAAAATAAAATGGGAATGACATCTACCCAAGCCCCTTATTTATGAGCCAACTAAAGGTGGACCCTAGTGAAGACCCAGGAGCCTGTGACTAAGCTACAACCCCTCTCCACTACAAACCCAGAGGGCATTCTATCACTCTGAGGGCCCAACAAAAGAAGATCTTTTTTTTTTTTTTTTTAAAAGACGGGTTTCACCATGTTGGTCAGGCTGGTCTTGAACTCCCGGCCTCAGGTGATCCGCCTGCCTTGGCCTCCAAAGTGCTTGGATTACGGGCGTGAGCCACCGCACCTGGCCTCTAACAAAAGAAGATCTTTACCTCTTGAAAGCAGTTTATAAAAACCTGAAGAAGTGTTTGCTCCTTCAAATTGACAGACACCGGGCCGGGCGCGGTGGCTCAAGCCTGTAATCCCAGCACTTTGGGAGGCCGAGGCGGGTGGATCACGAGGTCAAGAGATCGAGACCATCCTGGTCAACATGGTGAAACCCCGTCTCTACTAAAAATACAAAAAATTAGCTGGGCATGGTGGCGCGTGCCTGTAATCCCAGCTACTCAGGAGGCTGAGGCAGGAGAATTGCCTGAACCCAGGAGGCGGAGGTTGCGGTGAGCCGAGATCGCGCCATTGCACTCCAGCCTGGGTAGCAAGAGTGAAACTCCGTCTCAAAAAACAAACAAACAAAACAAATTGACAGACACCAATACAAAACTATATTGTGCCCATTGTTAATGCTTCTACTTTAATATAGCACTGAAAGTGTGTGGCAAAAGAATTTGTCAAAAAAATAAAAAATAGTCATTGAAATTGCTGCTTATTATATAATATTATACATAAAAAACCACAAGCAGTACATTAAAATGTGTCTAAACTAATAAATACACACAGTAAATTGGCAAAATATAAAATTACAAGTTATGGTTCCGTATACTTAAAACAAACTACCTCATAAAATAGAGGAAGAAAATCTTATTTACAATTGCATTAAAATAAATTTCTGAAAACAAATTTAATGAAGGAGGTTAAAAGTCTTTACAATTAAAGATATATTAAGAAATTAGAAGACACATAAATTTAAAAATATTTCATGTGTATGGATTGAAAGAATAAATATTGTTCAAGTGGCAATATTGTTAAGAAAACCAAAATTATACACTGTGTTTTCTGACCATAACTGAAACTAGAATATTGTTAAATATTGCTAAAATATTGTTAAAGGGCCAATATTGTTAAGAAGACGAAGATTATACACTGTGTGTTTTCTAACCAAATGAATGAAACTAGAAATTAAAAGCAAAAGTTTTTAAAAGCAAATATTATCCAATGTGATCTATAGATTCAATAAATTCCTATCAAAATTCTAGTGGTATTTTTCTCACAGTAATAGAAAATACAATCCTAAAATGTGCATGGAACTACAATAAACGTTGAATAGCCAAAGCAATATTGAGAAAAATGAACAAGGCAGAGGGACATCCTACTTTATAATTTCAAACTATATTTCAAGACTACAGTAATACAAACCGGATGGAATATGCAGAAAAAATTAACAACAACAAACCCTAATGGAACCAAAACTACTACTCTCACACATTTCAGAAAGGATGCAAAAGAGAACTTAAAAAATAGTTTAACATAGACCTTCTCAAAATTATGCAGATATTTGCGTGTCCCCCAAAATAATGAAGAAATAGTTAAATTGTGCAGTCTCTTATATGCCATAAAGAGGACTTTGGCTCTCACTATAAACTTGAAGAAAGTTCAATGAAAGGAAAATAGAATCCTCAGACCATTTAAAAGCATAAGACAGGAGATGACCTAAGTAAGAGAAAAATTTAAAATAACAACAACCACCACCACCTTCGGCTTTCAGAAACGATTTCTTTTGGTATACAGCTTCCCAAATCACATTTTAAGAACTGGCTTTCTCTTTGACCTTTGGACCTGTCATCTGTGTCACATGTTGTATTCACTCTCACCTACCTGGGGTTTCATCTACCATCTCCTGTCTCTTCATACTCTGGGGCTCTTTTTCTTTCTCCAGATAGGTGATTAAAGCTGGCTTAGAGACAGCAATACCTGTTTTATTAAAAATAAATAACATAACTCTCGCTCATATTCTGTAATTACCAACTTAGTAATGTGCTCAGTAAAGAGAATGTAATAGAATAGTCTAGCAAATTAACCCCAAAATACTAATTTATAACAGAAGTTTCTAAATATTTAGAAAATATTTTAAATGTATAGGCTTTTAATTTCAGTACCCAGTACTATTAAATCAAAAATTAATGGTAGCAATCAGATTTTAAGGTGTGGGCAACAATATTTTGTGCCATTTGAATTTCTGGAATTACCGCTTATCTAGATTGAAGGATACAGATCAGCTCAGGAATGTGGAAAGTTCAGGTCAAGGTAAAACATCATGAAGAAACTCTTTTTTACACAGACAAATTCCCAAGCTTTTCTGGAAAACAGGGATCTGAAACTCATTTGTGGAAAGCATAAATAACCAAAAAACATTCTACAAAGAAATGAAACATTTAGGGTATATTAGAAATTATTGGCCGGGCACAGTGGCTCAAGCCTGTAATCCCAGCACTTTGGGAGGCCGAGGCGGGTGGATCACGAGGTCAAGAGATCGAGACCATCCTGGTCAACATGGTGAAACCCCGTCTCTACTAAAAATACAAAAATTAGCTGG